TCATTAGGATTTGGTAAACTACCGCAGCATAGTTTAGTATATAAACAAACCTTTTAATTTGATCTGTCACAGGGTTTTAATTCTAGTCAGGAAATCACTTGTGCCTGTTATTAAAGGAATCGTGTTTATGTTTTCAAGTAGAAGAATCCCACTTAATGTGAAAGGATTTGGAGAAGTGACTTCATTCTGTCTGTTAATGCTCTGCGGGTCCGTGCACCGCAGTGAATCAGAAAGTGTACTCTACAACCAGGGAACATTTTGTCCTCTCCTAGTGGCACTTTTGTAATACATGTGCCCAGAGGATTACATATTGTTTATTAATGTACTACATGTCATTTCCTCACTTGGCTAGTCCTTTGAAATGGTAATCTAATCTGAATTTTTTTTTTGTGTGGTCTATGAAGACATATTTTTTTTCCTGTTGAGTTCTAAAGCCCAGTGATTCATTATTCCCTGATAAAGATGATTCTTTATTCATCTTCATGCGTCCTTTCTCAAGCATATCCAATTAAAGTCAGCATGTGATAATTCATAAAACAAACCATTCACATTTTAATGTAAAAAATGGTGTCTCTAAAATACTTTATGAGGTACACGCTGCTTTTGCATTTTCTAAATTTAGCTGGAGGTTCTTGAAGACCCTGAGTTCTGATAACTGTTTAAAATTCAGTATTTATTCAAATCTACCGTTCAGATGAACCACAGGACCCCTTTCATCCTGGTAACATTTCACAAGCACCAATCCTGGAAAAAATGATGAAACATTAATCACTGCATATTTTACAGATAGTTAACCTATTATGTCACCCAAGTATAATTCATTTTGTAATAAAATTATAAATCCCAGAACTTAAAATTGGTTACAATTATAATTATAGTTATGCCTAAGCAAGTGATAAATTATTTTTATATTATGTAATTCAATGCTTGATCAACCTAAAAATACATAATGTCTAGTTCAAAGTTAATGCATTTGTTCATTAGTAAATTTAGCAAATATTTATTGAACACTTAGCACGCACCCAGTACAAATTATCCAGGACATGGGATAATTTCATATAAAATAAAGATACCTGTTCTCAGGGGGATTCCTTTCTAAAGGAAAGGGCAGATAATAAGCAATAAGAATAGCAAATATATGAATTATATGTTAAAACATGATAAGGGCTATGGAGTAAAGAAAAGAGAGAGGAGTGTGGAAGGGGGGTGAAAAAAATGTAGGAAGCTGTGTCTTTCTGCTTTAAATATGGTAGTTTGTTGTTCTGGTTAGGCTGCCACGACAACATCTTGCGGACCGGATGTCTCAGACAGCAGAAGTGCATTTTCTCACTGTTATGGGGGGATAAGAGGGTAAGATTAAGATTCGTGCCCACTGGGTATCTGGTGAGGAGCTCTGGCACGCACATGGCTGCCTTATCATGTGCTGTTTTCCTGGTACATGAGTGGAGATGGGGGATGGAGAGGGAGAGGGAGAGGGAGAGAGAGAGAACAAACTCTCTTGTATTTCTCCTTGTAAGAACACTAATCTAACAGATCAGGGCCCATTCTTCGGCTTCATTTACCCTTAATTACCTCCTTACTCCAGACATGGCCACATGTGGGATTCAGGCTTCATCATATGGATTTGGGGATACATACATATTCAGTCCATAATAGATGGTCATCAGGAAGGTGTTATTTGGGCAAATCTTTGAAGGAAATAAAATGGCCACCCAGACAGAGACAAGGGTGTGCATTTCCAGGCAGAGGAAGTAGCTGCTGCAAAATCCCTGCGGCAAGAATGACCTTGTGTCTCTCCTCAAAGGAGTTAGTCTGGTTCCAGAGAAGGGAGCAAGTGGGAATTGGAAGGGCAGTCAGGTGGTGGGACCTCTCTGACCTGATCGGAGGGATCAGATCACATAGGCTGTTGGAAGGACTTTGCTTTTCTCTGAGAGAGATAAGGAGATTTCCAGCAAAGGGGAATTTTTTTTTTTTTTTTTTTTTTTTTTTTTTTTAGAGACAGAATTTTACTTTGTCACCCTCAGTAGAGTGCCGAGTGCCATGGCATCACAGCTCACAGCAAACTCCAGCTCTTGGGCTTAGGCAATTCTCTTGCCTCAGCCTCCCAAGTAGCTGGGACTACAGGCACCCACCACAATACCTGGCTATTTTTTTGTTGCAGTTTGGCCAGGGCCGGGTTTGAACTCGCCACCCTCAGTATATGGGGCCGGCGCCCTACTCACTGAGCCATAGGCACCACTAGGGGGAATGTTTTAAAAGACTTACCTTTACTGGATGCTGAAAATAGGTGGGAAGGACAAAGGTGGATGCAGGTGCAACAGTGAATGCAAATCAGGACGGTAGCCTGGCTCGGAGTCTGGCAGCAGGAGTTGTGCAAAGTAACCAGACTATAGACCAGAGTGGAAAGGGCACCATCATGAAGCCCCACATAGCTCTGACAAGATTTAATAATTAGTAAGATTTCACTACCTTTGTTCACTTATTTCTGACATATTTTTAAGTCAATCATGGAAGGCATGACATTCTACCCCTAAACACTTGCGTATGTTTCTCTAATAAGTACGTGTTTGTTATGTTGCCTTAGTTAAACAAAATTAGCAAGAAATCAGAGGGTGACATACAAATGTGTATATAGACAGTATTAAAGAAATATTTAACATAAATATTAATATATTAAATTTAATTTCTTGTTAATTTAGTTAAACAAAATTAATGAGAAATCAGAGGGTGGTTTGCCCATCACCCTCTGAATATTTTTCTGTGTAGTTAATGTGTGTGGATCAGGATCTGAGTAAGAGTCTGACCATGGTCTTTGTTACCATCCTCTAACATTAACAAGCCCCGCCTTCT